CCTTATGTCTTTACAAAAGTCACGCGTCAGTTGGTAAAGAAGTGGCGTTTTGAAGGCAAGAAAATTGTTACATTCCTTGATGATGGTATCATGTCAGCTTGTTCTGTTACAAGTGCGTTGACAGTAGGGGAGAGTGTTAAGACCGATTTGATTCAATCAGGTTTTGTGCCAAAGGTTGAGAAGTCATTATGGTATCCATCGCAGAGTTTAGAATGGCTCGGTTTCCACATAGATACAACTACTATGACAATGTCGGTGCCTGAGAGAAAAGTTGTGAAGTTGATGAGCAGTGTTCAGGAGCTATTGAATAATAGGACTGGTTATCACAAAGTTAGAAGTGTGGCATCTGTAGTAGGACAGGTTGTCTCTGTGAAAGACAATATCAAAAGGTTTAACAGCAGGGCTTTGATCACACAATCACTTGGTTCAACGTTGATTTTCAGTGATGCTAGTGATACAGGGTTTGGTGGGTACTGCGTTGAGTTGGCTGGTGCAAAGTCGCACGGGCAGTGGTCAGCAGAGGAGGCTAACCGTAGCTCCACGTGGAGAGAGCTTGAGGCGGTTTATTTGGTTTTGAAAAGTTTCATACCATCCTTGAAATCGCACAGAAGTACTTGGTTTACTGATAGTCAAAATGTTGCATCCATTGTTGAAAAGGGTAGCATTAGACAGCATTCAAGATGTTGCCATGCAGATATTTGAATCATGTTCTGTCAACCAGATACATTTGACTTTGCAGTGAATTCCTCGTTGTGAGAATCAGGTAGCAGATATGCTGAGTAGAGTGACTGATTACGATGATTGGGCAATTGCCAGGGATGTATTTCAACAAATTGATGCCAAATGGGGTCCACATGAAGTCGATAGCTTTGCTACTTAGTACAACACTAAGCTTTTACGGTTCAATTCTAGATTTTACAATCCTGATTGTGAGGCCGTTGACTGTTTCACGGTGAATTGGAGTGGCTTAAGTTGGGTTGTTCCTCCTGTCTGTCTCATACCGAGAACAATTAGACATATGTCGGAGTGCTGTGCTAGAGGTACTCTTGTTGTACCAGAGTGGTATTCTTCCTGTTTTTGGCCTCTGTTAGCAGTAGGGAATGCCTATATCACACAAGTGAAGGAGAGGGTATATCTACCTAGAGCTAAGGAATGCTATGTAGCTTCCAGATTGAGGGGTGGATTGTTTGGAGAGAAAGATCTGCATTTCAATATGTTAGCTTTGCGTGTTGATTTCAGTACATGCTAATTGTTTCATTCTGTTCACAGATGTGTTTACATGTACATATGGAGATGAACTTGGAGAAATGCCGGAGGGTGTTCGTAAGCTAGCGGCTGGTTTGCCGGAGTTGTTGTCCCATTGTAGAGCCGACTCTACTACCAGGAAGTACCGGTATGGGTTTGAGGCACGGAAACGGTGGGCAGATTCATTTTCTATGAACAGTAAGTTACCGATATTACCTTTGCATTGTTCTTTGTATCTACTGTCAGTCATTCAGCAAAGTGAATCTTTTGCTGCGGTGCAGACAGCATTTTATAGTATCAGGCATGCACATGTCAGGGTAGGCATTGAAAACCCAACAGATAGTTCTCTGGTTAGAAATGTATTGGAAGCTGCTAAACGGAAGTTAACAAAGTCAGTTTCCAAAAAAGAACCGGTTTCTATTGAGTTACTGGAGAAAGTTTATGATGATAAATGTGCAAACCTTCTTTGGCTGATTTGAGAATTGTTACGATGTGTTTGCTAGCATATCCTGTTTTTTGAGGTCAGCAGAACTCTTAAATATTTCCAGATGTGATGTTGTTTTTTATGATACTCATATGATGCTCTTTATAGAAAAGTCTAAGACAGATGTGTATAGAGACGGTTCTTGGCTGGTCATAAGCAAGACCAGTATCTTGTTTACTGAAATATCTGGATTATGCTTACATTCCACCGGAGTCAGATGAGTTTGTGTTCATAAATTTATCCAAGACCAAATCCGGCTACTCGTTAAGAAAAGGCAATACTCCAATGTCGTACACAAGGTTACGAGAACTATTTATAGAGACATTCAAGCCGTTTGTCAAGGACATTAAAATGTACGGTTTGCACTGTCTCCGTACTGGGGGAGGGGAGCGTCTGCTGCAGCAAATAACGGTGTTCCGGACAGAATGTTCAAACGACATGGAAGGTGGAAAAGTGAGAACGCAAAAGATGGATACGTTAAGGATAGTTTGAATAATCGTCAAAAAGTGTCACTATCACTAGGGCTCTGAACACCGACTTTCTTTGAGCCTCTTGCTATGGTATACAAATACAGCCAGTCCAAGTATTTATGATGTTGTGTTGTCTGTATACTTGTGGAAGGGGTGTAGGAGAAATATAGTTTTCCTCGTTTGAAGAATGAATTAGAGGAAAACTGATTTCTCCAAGCGGTGAGCAAGTATCAAAGGGCATATAATCTAGGGGCGCTAGTGGTCCTAGAGGGGTATATAAGGCTGAGGTATTCAATGATTTGACTCTCTCGGCTGTCGGGCAGTACCTTACGGGCATCTTTTTAGTTAAATCATTAATGTATTTAGTATTATCTACTAGTATATGAAACTTTGTTTTGTGTTTCAGGTGATTTTTCTGCAATGAATGTTGTGTTGCCAGCACAGTTACGATTGCATTCAGAGCGATAACACCGCATATGGGAGCTGTCCGTTTATGGAAGAGTTTTAGTCGTTATGGCTGGTGCCGCTTTTGGCGATGTGAATTTATGCCGTTTATGGTCTGTGTGATGCGTATGTGTTGATGTTGTATATGGAACGAGCCGTCTTGGCTAGTGCCGTTTATGGCGGTTTATGTTGATATCGTTCATGGAATGTGTCACAGCTGTGTTTGAATGAATTGTTCAATTCTCGTGCCGCATATGGCTTCATTGGGTATTGTTAGATATATTATGATGTTGGTCTGTTGTATATGTCTGAAACTGCTTATGGATCTGTCATAGTTAGATTATGTGTTAGTGTACATATGTATTCTAGTTATCCAGTTTTTCACTGATGACTGTAAACTCCCCAGTTAGGAGCTGTTGCATGCGTAGGGAGAACACGGTTCCAGAGTTTTTCTCATAGCAGAGTTGTTATCTCTGATTTTACAGCCAGTCCAAGTATTTATGATGTTGTGTTGTCTGTATACTTGTGGAAGGGGTGTAGGAGAATTGAAATTTCACTTCACATGCTTGTTGATTACCTGGCTGTTCTACCAGCAAGTGGTCCTCCCTCGTAAGAAATAGCGAAAAGTGACAACAAAATAATGATCTTTGTTAAACAACGTTTATATTCGGGTGTCCAAAATTATGAGACAACTCATCAGAGTTGGTCTGTCGATTTCATGTGAAGTGAATGTGAGGTATTTTACAGACGCACTGCCCACTAGCGGCTCTATGAACAGTGTATTTGTGAACGATGGTGACGTCCACAGAACATGCATGTCTCCTCCATGAATGTGTCCAGTATACACATGGCTGCCAAACACAGCGAGAGAGATAGACTAACAACTAGTCTCTGAAATGAACATATTTTACAGAAAAAAGTTCATAGTAAAAAAATAAAATATAATGAAAAGGAGCCCTGAGACTTTCTTCATTAGCTGTGGAAATCTAGACTTGCCACATTTTCTAGACTTGCATGGGTTTTCTTGGATATATTTGCTTCAGGGTCTGTATGACAGACTACGAGAGAGCGTAGCTCTTTCTTGTTCGTAGTTATAAAATATATCAATCATTCGAAACATTGAACGATGTGAAATGTTTTTTACTTTGTTTGAGCTGAGTGAAAGATTACAAGAGATTTTCAGCATTCCGTTATAAAGTTTGCTCTCTCCGCTTCAGTTGCTATTCCAAATGTTGAAAAAGACCTTTTGTGCCTTAAATGCGAGAATATATGGATGTCTGAACTTCTTTATTTGACATCCATAACTTCTCGTCTTTATGTGTATCACTCTCAATGCCTTTTGTGCCTTGTAATACAGAAATCGATGGTGAAATGTTCTTATTGCTTCTTTAAGAATTTCAAATGAGACAATGCAATAACGGAATTTGTACTTAAAATATCTTTATCATTTTGATGTATATTTGTTATTTGATTTCTTCTTAATGTGAACATTATAAGCGAAAAAGCTATCTAAAATCATAAAACAATCATCACATTATCAAACAGCGCACATACCAAGTGGCACCACTTACAAACCCATACAAAGACAAGCCGGATTTTGCCAAAAGAGAATAGGCATAAATGTGCCACAAATGCGTCAAAGATGTCCCGGGGGTATATTCTGGACCAGGCCAAAGTATACCCCTCCAGCCCAGACTATACCCCTAAAAAATTATGTTGACAATTCACTCAATATGAGTGTGTGACTCAGGGCTATGGTCTTGGTGTCATTTAATGGAATTTGTAGGTGCATTTCATTTACATTACTTCATAATACAGAATTTATGAAGCATTTGTTTAGTGCCTCTCTGCGATGTGATATTTTCGACTTTGCGTAACCCAGCCATGCTGATATATCATCAAGGTTAGCTTTCCTGAACCAAAATGTCTATGAGTACATCGCTAATTCGGGAATTTCACGAGATGGAATGTGGGCAACATATGCAGAAGTTATGTCAACAGCCAGTCTGTTAAAATGTGACATTTATATTTACAGTGCAGTTGGTCAGTTAATGCAATGGCTGCCAGCTTCAGCTTGAAAACTCACACTGATTATGCTTTGTATCTGGAAAATATATCGGACCATTTCAATGTTGTAACCAGTGTATAATTGTGTGAGAAGTACAATAAAGTTATAGTAGTATCCTTAATCACTTGTTTTCTGTAGGGGTATAATCTGGGCTAGGGGGGTATACTATGGCTTAGTTCAGAATATACCCCGGGGTATAAACTAGGCTAGCCCAGATTATACCTGGGGTATAGTCTGGGCTAGCCCAGTTTAACCTCGGGTATAGTCTGGGACAGGGGTATACTCTGGCCTGTTACACCGGGTTATGTTCATGGTGTCCATGATGACAATGGTCAAGCTGTGTTGTTAAACACTGTTCCAAAATGCCTACGATAAAAGATTCCTGTTCTGAAGTACTGTTGAAAATATGCAGAAAACTACCAGATGGAATTATTTGTCTGTGATATCACCATCCATTTAAGCCTGTTCCTGTTCCTCTTCCTCTTCCTCATCGAACTCGCCCTCTTCCTCGGCGGTGGCGTCCTGGTACTGCTGGTACTCAGACACCAAGTCGTTCATGTTGGACTCGGCCTCAGTGAACTCCATCTCGTCCATGCCCTCGCCAGTGTACCAATGGAGGAAAGCCTTACGACGGAACATAGCAGTGAACTGCTCGGATATGCGCTTGAAGAGCTCCTGGATGGCAGTGCTGTTGCCGATGAAGGTGGCAGACATCTTGAGACCACGTGGTGGGATGTCACAGACGGCGGTCTTGACGTTGCTGGGGATCCATTCAACGAAGTAACTGCTGTTCTTGTTCTGAACGTTGAGCATCTGTTCATCGACCTCCTTCATGGACATGCGGCCTCTAAAAATAGCGGCAACTGTCAGGTAGCGACCGTGACGGGGATCACAGGCAGCCATCATGTTCTTGGAATCGAACATCTGCTGGGTGAGTTCGGGCACGGTGAGTGCACGGTACTGCTGGCTTCCTCTGGAGGTGAGAGGGGCGAAGCCGGGCATGAAGAAGTGGAGACGGGGGAAGGGCACCATGTTGACCGCCAGTTTACGGAGATCAGCGTTCAACTGACCAGGGAACCTCAGGCAGGTGGTCACACCGGACATGGCGGATGACACCAGATGGTTAAGGTCACCGTAGGTAGGTGTGGTCAGCTTCAGGGTTCTGAAGCAGATGTCGTAAAGAGCCTCGTTGTCTATACAGAAGGTCTCGTCCGTGTTCTCCACCAGCTGATGGATGGAGAGGGTGGCGTTGTAGGGCTCCACCACAGTGTCAGACACCTGAAAGAGGGGAACATTCGTTTCAGCTATGGACAGATACTCTGACATTTGATCCAAAGAGCGAAAACCGTTACACAAAATAAATGTATTAGTTGCTAAGCTACCTGCTAAAGTTGATTATATACATAGGGTGATCTTGAAATCTGAATTCGTTTGTGTTTATGTTTAACGGTATACTTTAACTCCGTAAACTTTTATACTTTTATACACCTCTCCGCCGTTTTGGCTCACATAGTCAAATGGTTGAGTGAGAATGGGAGAACTGTCACCTTGGGGGATGGTACAACGGAGAAGGTGTTCATGATCCTGTCGGGATACTCCTCCCTGATCTTGCTGATGAGGAGGGTGCCCATGCCAGACCCGGTGCCGCCACCCAGAGAGTGGGTCAGTTGGAAGCCCTGAAGACAGTCACAGCTCTCGGCTTCTTTCCGGACAACATCGAGAACGGAGTCGACCAGCTCGGCGCCCTCTGTGTAGTGACCCTTGGCCCAGTTGTTGCCGGCGCCGCTCTGGCCGAAGACGAAGTTGTCTGGGCGGAAGATCTGACCAAAAGGTCCAGATCGGACGGAGTCCATTGTTCCGGGCTCCAGATCGACCAGGACGGCACGGGGAACATACTTTCCACCTGGAAAACGGTCAACAGTATATTATATGATAGTTTGGGCAAAATGAAGACATATTTATGATGAGACACTTCCTAAAGAGGATTTAATTTTTGTTTTACAGGAACGCCAGAAAAAAACCGCATCATGCTGACACGCTGCCCAGGAACCGTTATAGTGAGTGAGATTAGTTCTACGTCGCTTTTAGCAATATTCCAGCAATATCACGGCGGGGGACACCATAAATGGGCTTCGCACATTGTACCCATGTGGGGAATCGAACCCGGGAACTGCTATAAGTACTGTTTACATATGCAAATATATTATGCCGATGCCGATCTGCTTATTTCGAAGATTTTACAAACAACGGTATCACAGATGAACAGGATTTCTGTGAGAGGTAACCATTCTGCGGTGTGTAAACTCACAGGTCTACAATGCACTTTTTTCAGAGACCTTAAATTTTGGTAAGATATCCGCCCGTATCCCCTCTAAATTTTAACGATGAGGAAACATTTCTTTGAGTGACATTTGTAGAAGTTGGATATGTCTTTCAGTATGTTCAGATACAATTAAAGAAGCATGTTACAACTCATCCTTATAAGATGAAGAATATACTAGTATATTCAGGTGATATGATTTGACTAGAATAAAATTTAAGGGTGGATACGGGCGGAAGTGTTTCCTAAATTTTTACAAACATTTACATTTTAACAAACTTGCGCTATAAACTGGTACCGCACCACCAGGACCATACACTAGAAAGAAGCCAGTACACTAAGCATAGCAAGGTTTTCATCGCATTGGCTTGATGCGCTATATCTTAACAGCCGGCTTGCAGTAGCATTTATATGAAGCATGTTTTTCTTACCCGTGGCTTCGTTGTAGTAGACATTGATTCTCTCCAACTGGAGGTCGGAGTCTCCGTGGTAGGTGCCGGTGGGGTCGATGCCGTGTTCGTCAGAGATCACCTCCCAGAACTGAAAAAGAAAGAAGATTATCGTTTAGCTCGAGAATCACGATCACCCATGAACAGCCATGCCTGCAGCTGCGTCTGTCCTGGTTATTACATAATTGATAGGTCTGTGACCAGCTGCATCTCCGATACTACAGCCTGACTCAGCAGCGACCAGCTGTACGTGGGTAACCGCATCTCCGACAACAGCTGGAGACGATACATCAGCTATACATCCTGTACAAGTGCATCGTGGGTGAAACCGCATCTCCGACACAACAGCATGAGTCAGTGATTAGCTAGACCTCCTGTACAACTTGCATCGTGGGTGAATGATTAACCGCACCTCCGACACAACAGCATGAGTCAGTGATTAGCTAGACCTCCTGTATAACTTGCATCGTGGGTGAATGATTAACTGCACCTCCGACACGTGGGTGAATGATACAACAGCATGAGTCAGTGATTAGCTAGACCTCCTGTATAACTTGCATCGTGGGTGAATGATTAACCGCACCTCCGACACAACAGCATGAGTGAGTGATTAGCTAGACCTCCTGTATAACTTGCATCGTGGGTGAATGATTAACCGCACCTCCGACACAACAGCATGAGTGAGTGATTAGCTAGACCTCCTGTATAACTTGCATCGTGGGTGAATGATTAACCGCGCCTCCGATACAACAGCATGAGTCAGTGATTAGCTAGACCTCCTGTATGACTTGCACTTGCACCATCGTGAGTGGTGAAGCTAGACCTCCTGTATATGACCCGCACCTCCGATACAACAGCATGAGTCAGTGATTAGCTAGACCTCAGTGATTAGCTAGACCTCCTGTAACTTGCATCGTGGGTGAATGATTAACCGCACCTCCGACACAACAGCATGAGTCAGTGATTAGCTATACCTCCTGTATAACTTGCATCGTGGGTGAATGATTAACCGCACCTCCGACACAACAGCATGAGTCAGTGATTAGCTAGACCTCCTGTATAACTTGCATCGTGGGTGAATGATTAACCGCACCTCCGACACAACAGCTAGACCTCCTGTATAACTTGCATCGTGGGTGAATGATTAACCGCACCTCCGACACAACAGCATGATTCAGTGATTAGCTAGACCTCCTGTATAACTTGCATCGTGGGTGAATGATTAGCCACACAACAGTCAGTGGTTAGCTAGATCTGCTGTACAACTTGCATAGTGGGTGTATGATTTACTGATTAACCGCACCTCCGACACAATGTTCAGCTTGAGTCAGTGATTAGCTGCACCCCCTACATCATGCATCACAAGTAAGTGGGTAACCGCATCCCCGACACAAGCACGAGTCAGTGCATTCACTTCCTATACCACTTCGCGTGTCAGTGATTAGCTCGAACCCCTATCCTGTATGCATCAGGAGTAAGTGAATTACGGCACCCAAATACAATATTTTAGTCTGGAAATCCGCGCCCCTGTACATCATTAGGGAATGGGACAGTGGTGAGTACAAGTTAAGTGCATACCAAGGTACAGCCTAGTCGATCCCTAGCGTTCACGTAGACACACTCCCAGAGACATCTGTTCAATATTTTTGTCGGAGGTCAAATTGTAGCAGGTACTTATACATGTAACCAGATAGAACTCAGACTTACCAAGGAAAACCAGCAGAGGGCAACCAAGCTTTGGAAGATTCCACATCACTTGTCACGGATCATCTACAACGCCCATTTCATACCACACATCACATATCAGTGATTGTCTGTAACCCTGAAGATTCACACATCATACTTGTCACGGATCATCTCACAACCCCAGTGTTACACACATCACATATCAGTGATTGTCTGTAACCTCTATAGATCACACATCACATATCAGTGATTGTCTGTAACCCCTGAAGATTCCACATCACTTGTCACGGATCATCTACAACCCCAATATACCACACATCACATATCAGTGATTGTCTGTAACCCTGAAGATTCCACATCACTTGTCACGGATCATCTACAACCCCAATATACCACACATCACATATCAGTGATTGTCTGTAACCCCTGAAGATTCCACATCACTTGTCACGGATCATCTACAACCCCAATATACCACACATCACATATCAGTGATTGTCTGTAACCCCTGAAGATTCCACATCACTTGTCACGGATCATCTACAACCCCAATATACCACACATCACATATCAGTGATTGTCTGTAACCTCACATCATCACATATCAGTGATTGTCTGTAACCCTGAAGATTCCACATCACTTGTCACGGATCATCTACAACCCCAATATACCACACATCACATATCAGTGATTGTCTGTAACCCCTGAAGATTCCACATCACTTGTCACGGATCATCTACAACCCCAATATACCACACATCACATATCAGTGATTGTCTGTAACCCTGAAGATTCCACATCACTTGTCACGGATCATCTACAACCCCATGCCACATCACATATCAGTGATTGTCTGTAACCCTGAAGATTCCACAACGGATCATCTGTAACCCTATAGATGCCACATCACATATCAGTGATTGTCTGTCACACCTCTTGTCACGGATCATCTACAATAGATCACACATCACATATCAGTGATTGTCTGTAACCCCTGAAGATTCCACATCACTTGTCACGGATCATCTACAACCCCAATATACCACACATCACATATCAGTGATTGTCTGTAACCCTGTCACACATCACTTGTCACGGATCATCCTAACCTGAAGATTCCACATCACTTGTCACGGATCATCTACAACCCCAATATCACACATCACATATCAGTGATTGTCTGTAACCTCTATAGATTCCACATCACATATCAGTGATTGTCTGTAACCCTGAAGATTCCACATCACTTGTCACGGATCATCTACAACCCCAATATACCACACATCACATATCAGTGATTGTCTGTAAACCCTGAAGATTCACCCCACATCACATGTCAGTGATCATCTACAACCCCTATATATCACACATCACATATCACACATCACATATCAGTGATTGTCTGTAACCCCTGAAGATTCCACATCACTTGTCACGGATCATCTACAACATCCCAGTGATTGTCTGTAACCCCTGAAGATTCCACATCACTTGTCACGGATATACAACCCCACACATCACATATCAGTGATTGTCTGTGTAACACATCACTATAGATCACACATCACATATCAGTGATTGTCTGTAACCTCTGAAGATTCCACATCACTTGTCACGGATCATCTACAACCCCAATATACCACACATCACATATCAGTGATTGTCTGTAACCCCTGAAGATTCCACATCACTTGTCACGGATCATCTACAACCCCAATATGCCACACATCACATATCAGTGATTGTCTGTAACCTCTATAGATCACACATCACATATCAGTGATTGTCTGTAACCCCTGAAGATTCCACATCACTTGTCACGGATCATCTACAACCCCAATATACCACACATCACATATCAGTGATTGTCTGTAACCCCTGAAGATTCCACATCACTTGTCACGGATCATCTACAACCCCAGTGTGCCACACATCACATATCAGTGATTGTCTGTAACCTCTATAGATCACACATCACATATCAGTGATTGTCTGTAACCCCTGAAGATTCCACATCACTTGTCACGGATCATCTACAACCCCAATATACCACACATCACATATCAGTGATTGTCTGTAACCCCTGAAGATTCCACATCACTTGTCACGGATCATCTACAACCCCAATATGCCACACATCACATATCAGTGATTGTCTGTAACCTCTATAGATCACACATCACATATCAGTGATTGTCTGTAACCCCTGAAGATTCACACATCACTTGTCAGGATCAGAACCCCTAATAGACCACACATCACATATCAGTGATTGTCTGTAACCCCTGAAGATTCCACATCACTTGTCACGGATCATCTACAACCCCAATATACCACACATCACATATCAGTGATTGTCTGTAACCCTGAAGATTCCACATCACTTGTCACGGATCATCTACAACCCCAATATACACACATCACATATCAGTGATTGTCTGTAACCTCTATAGATCACACATCACATATCAGTGATTGTCTGTAACCTCTGAAGATTCCACATCACTTGTCACGGATCATCTACAACCCCAATATACCACACATCACATATCAGTGATTGTCTGTAACCCCTGAAGATTCCACATCACTTGTCACGGATCATCTACAACCCCAGTGTGCCACACATCACATATCAGTGATTGTCTGTAACCTCTATAGATCACACATCACATATCAGTGATTGTCTGTAACCCCTGAAGATTCCACATCACTTGTCACGGATCATCTACAACCCCAATATACCACACATCACATATCAGTGATTGTCTGTAACCTCTGAAGATTCCACATCACTTGTCACGGATCATCTACCACCACAATATATCCACATCACATATCAGTGATTGTCTGTAACCCGTGAAGATTCCACATCACTTGTCACGGATCATCTACTTTAAAGACCACTTGCCTTTTGTAGACGACGGCATTCTAAACATACCACAGATCACGAATTCATCAGTGAAGTGTAGTTAATATCATGAGACAATCATGTCCAAGTGTCATTTGTCACGGATCATCTACAACGCCCAAGTCTCATCACATATCAGTGATTGTCTGTAATAGATCTATAGATCACACATCACATATTGCAAACATTTTGTAAAGAAAAGATACACTTCCTGTATCGTATACCACAATTCATCACACATCTGTTTATCGAGATGGATCATGTTCAGCTATAGATGCATTTATCACATATCAGTGATTGTCTGTAACCCTGAAGATTCCACATCACTTGTCACGGATCATCATCAACCCCAATATTTACACATCACATATCAGTGATTGTCTGGTTTTCCTGAAGATTCCACATCAGCTATCACACATAACTTGACCACACATCACAGTGATCATTGTACAACCCCTGTATACCACACATAACTTGATATCAGTGATCAGGTGTAACCCCTAACCACATCACTTCACAGATCAGTGATCACATACAATCCCTGTATACTCACATCACTTGACGGCAGTGATCATCTACAACCCCAATATACCACACATCACATATCAGTGATTGTCTGTAACCTCTGTATATCATCACATAACTTGACATCAGTGATTGTCTGTAACCCCTGTATACCACACATCACTTGACATCAGTGATCATGTACAACCTCTATATACCACACATCACATATCAGTGATTGTCTGTAACCCCTGAAGATTCCACATCACTTGTCACGGATCATCTACAACCCCAATATACCACACATCACATATCAGTGATTGTCTGTAACCCCTGAAGATTCCACATCACTTGTCACGGATCATCTACAACCCCAATATACCACACATCACATATCAGTGATTGTCTGTAACCCCTGAAGATTCCACATCACTTGTCAGTGATCATCTACTGTAACCCACCTGTATCCACACATCACATCACAGTGATTGTCTACAACCCTGTAGATCACACATCACATATCAGTGATTGTCTGTAACCCTGAAGATTCCACATCACTTGTCACGGATCATCTACAACCCCAATATACCACACATCACATATCAGTGATTGTCTGTAACCCCTGAAGATTCCACATCACTTGTCACGGATCATCTACAACCCCAATATGCCACACATCACATATCAGTGATTGTCTGTAACCTCTGCAGATACCACACATCACATATCGTGATTGTCTGTAACCCTGAAGATACCCACATCACTTGTCAGTGATTGTCTGTATCCCTGAATATACCACACATCACATATCAGTGATCATCTGTAACCCCTGTAGATCACACATCACATATCAGTGATTGTCTGTAACCCTGAAGATTCCACATCACTTGTCACGGATCATCTACAACCCCAGTGTGCCACACATCACATATCAGTGATTGTCTGTAACCTCTGTAGATCACACATCACATATCAGTGATTGTCTGTAACCTCTATAGATCACACATCACATATCAGTGATTGTCTGTAACCCCTGAAGATTCCACATCACTTGTCACGGATCATCTACAACCCCAATATACCACACATCACATATCAGTGATTGTCTGTAACCCCTAATAGATTACACATCACTTGTCAATGATCATCTACAACCCCCTGTCACAGTGATCATCTGTCCACCAGAATCTCCCAAGTGTCTTCTGATATCAATTATATCCAGCGAGTTGATAAAGATTACAAATATCGACTTGTCGAGGATATTTTACTATCAACGAGTGTTGATATATCATATCAGTGAATGTCTATTATCATCAAAATCACTCTTCATTAATTTTCAATGAAAAATGTACATCTCTGAAAATAGATGCCATTACACTTGCATGCAGCATGTATCATTGTGACGTCATCTGTATCATGACGTCATAGCCCTGAAGATTGTACACATCACTTGTCACGGATATCTACTAGGAGATATCGTTTGATCACACACAAGCGATCCTGTGGAACACAGTTTTGGATGATAAACCACACATCACTTATCATTGATCAGCTACTAACCCTGAAGATACCACATCACTTGTCAGTGATCATCTACTAACCCCGTATACCACACATCACATATCAGTGATTGTCTGTAACCCTGAAGATTCCACATCACTTGTCAGTGATCATCTACAACCCTGTATACCACACATCACATATCAGTGATTGTCTGTAACCCCTATAGACCACACATCACATATCAGTGATTGTCTACAACCCTGAAGATTCCACATCACTTGTCAGTGATCATCTACAACCCTCCGTATACCACACATCACTTATCAGTGATTGTCTGTATCCCCGTAGATCACACATCACTTGGCAGTGATCAGTCTGTAATCCCTGAAGATTCCACATCACTTGTCAGTGATCATCTACTATCCCCATTGTGTACCAAACATCACATATCAGTGATTGTCTACAACCCCTATAATATATACACATCACGGTGATCAACTGATTGTCACCCATCCCCCTCCACGCCCCGTATACCACACATCACTTGTCACGGATCATCTACAACCCTAATATACCACACATCACTTGATACGACACATCACTTGGCAGTGATAAGCTACTGCGCTTTCCTGTATACCATACACATCACTGGTGCATACCCCACCCACCCCCACCCCCACCCCTCCAATTGTATGCTACATAGAATTCGCCCCATCCTCCCATCATGCCGCTTGGGAAGTAGAGCGGAAATGTGACACGTAAGCTTCTAGTCTATACCACCACAGTCTATAGACCGGCGACATGTCTACACCAGCATACAGCACAATCACCCCATGCTAGATGTTTGAAATATTCATTCAATATGGAGGAAGTGGATGACACATCAGCATGCTACAGCAGCACCATGTGCTGTTATACGCCACATAAATATAAAAATGAATCAATACATAAGTGAGGTGAGGTGAGGTGAAATTGGGTTTTACGTCGTACTTGAGAATATTTCGCTCATATGACGACGTGCATGCGTGTGTATGGGTATGTGCTGGCTGACTAAGCTGGTTTTATAGTGTTAGCCAACTGAGATACCATGCCGCAGTAAAGCATGAATACCCTACTCAGACACATTATACTGACTCAGAGCCGACCAGTCCTTGTTGTACCCATTAATGCCGAGCGCCAGGCAGGTACCAACAAGTACCATATGTTAACGTCTTTTGGTATGACGCGGTCGGGGATCGAACCCACGACCTTCCGCTCTCCGGGCGGACGCTCTAACCACTACACCACGGAGGCGGTCCATAGATAAGTAGCTCACACATAAATACAATAATCACCCGCTAACAACGAAATCCAAATAAGTGTGTCGTAAATAAAGAATCATCATTGTTAAGTTGGTAGACAGTATACAGTGATAATACTCGTCGGCTTGTACAATGGTATCAGACGATGGGTAATTACGGACACATCATGGTGTTGATGGAGTACTTACCTTAGCTCCGATCTGGTTTCCACACTGACCAGTTTGAAGGTGGACAATTTCCCTCATGATTACAGAAGATGTAGAAAAGACAACTGGGTGGTAAGTAAACAACCTGACGGGGCACCTGCAGCAGTTGACGCGAGGCCGGTCTCACGAGCTAGAATGACGTCACGAATGGGAAACGAGGCAAGCTGTCTCCGCCTGACTCATAGTGAATTGTCTGGGCCCGGGGCATCAGCGAAGCTGGCAAGCTCCAGGTTACACAACACCACATGTTGTCCCATAGACTTCTATAGTAACCTTTTATTATTTTTTTAAAATTATCCAGGCTATCAACAGCCATTCCAGGTACACATGGGTACAGTCAGGCCTTTAAACTACAATAAAACACAATTTCTGGCCAAATTGTCCTAGCTGCACATTTTCCCAGCACATGAAGCGGAACACATCAACCCCAGTTCCGCACCAAATGTCACCTACTGGAATATATCTGTACACAATAGAACAGCCATGCCCGCAACTAAATCCGTCCTGGATTTATTACATAATTGATAAGGTCTCAGACCAGCTGCATCTCCGACACTACAGCCTGACTCAGCAGCGACCAGCTGTACGTGGTGTAACCGCATCTCCGACACAAATGGCAACGTGAGACAGTGATTAGCTATACCTCCTGTATAACTTGCATCATGGGTGAATGATTAACGCCCTCCTGATACAACAGTGGGTGAATGACAGTGATTGAAGCTATACCTCCTGTATAACTTGCATCGTGGGTGAATGATTAACCGCACCTCCGATACAGCAGCATGAGTGGTGATTAGCTAGACCTCCTGTATAACTTGCATCGTGGGTGAATGATTAACCGCACCTCCGACACAACAGCATGAGTGAGTGATTAGCTAGACCTCCTGTATAACTAGACCTCCTGCATCGTGGGTGAATGATTAACCGCACCCTCCGATACAACAGCATGAGTGGGTGTGATTAGCTAGACCTCCTGTATAACTTGCATCGTGGGTGAATAGCGATTAACACCGGCATGAGTGAGTGATTGGCTAGACCTCCGCACGTGGGTGAATGATTAACCGCAACTACCAGCATGATGAAAGTCAGTGACAGCTATACCTCCTGTATAACTTGCATCGTGGGTGAATGATTAACCGCACCTCCGACACAACAGCATGAGTCAGTGATTAGCTAGACTCTCCTGTATAACTTGCATCGTGGGTGAATGATTAACCCGGCGCCTCGATACACAGCCTCGAGTGGTGACTATACAACAGTGGGTCCGACCTCCTGTATAACTCATCGTGGGTGAATGATTAACCGCACCTCCGACACAACATCATGAGGTCAGTGATTAGCTACACCTCCTGTATAACTTGCATCGTGGGTGACCTCTGTATAAATGATTAGCCACACAACAGTCAGTGGTTAGCTAAGCACCTCCATCATGGAGTGCTGTACAGCTTGCATAGTGGGTGAATGATTTACTGATTAACCGCACCTCCGACACAATGTTCAGCTTGAGTCAGTGATTAGCTGCACCCTACATCATGCATCACAAGTAGGTGGGTAACCGCATCCCCGACACAAGCACGAGTCAGTGCATTCACTTCCTATACCACTTCGCGTGTCAGTGATTAGAAACCGAACCCCCTATCCTGGCCAATGCATCAGGTGTAAAGTGAATTACGGCACCCAAATACAATATTATTTTAGTCTGGAAATCCGCGCCCCTGTACATCATTAGGGAATGGGACAGTGGTGAGTACAAGTTATAAGTGGATACCAAAGGTACAACCCTAGTCGATCCCTAGTTCACGTAGACCACACTCCCAGAGACATCTGTTCAATATTTGCGTTTGAGTCCAAATTGTAGCAGGTACTTATACATGTAACCAGATAGAACTCCAGACTTACCAAGGAAAACCAGCAGAGGAGCAACCAAGCTTTGGAATATGTCGAACTTTGGATACGCAAATTACACACAGGCCAACACACATCACATATCAGTGATTGTCTGTAACCCTGAAGATTCCACATCACTTGTCACGGATCATCTACAAACCCCAATATACCACACATCACATATCAGTGATTATCTGTAACCCCTGAAGATTCCACATCACTTGTCACGGATCATCTACAACCCCAATATAGCCCACACATCACATATCAGTGATTGTCTGTAACCCCTGAAGATCACACATCACTTGTCATCACATATCGGATCATCTACAACCCCATAAGTGATGCCACACATCACATATCACGGATCATCTGTAACCTCTATATACCACACATCACATATCAGTGATTGTCTGTAACCCTGAAGATTCCACATCACTTGTCACGGATCATCTACAACCCCAGTGTGCCACACACATCACATATCAGTGATTGTCTGTAACCTCTGTAGATCACACATCACATATCAGTGATTGTCTGTAACCCCTGAAGACATCCATATCAGTGATTGTGTAACCCTGGATCCACATCACTTGTCACTGGATCATCTATAACCCCAATATACCACACATCACATCACATTATCAGTAACCCCTGATTGTCTGTAACCCCTGAAGATTCCACATCACTTGTCACGGATCATCTACAACCTCCAATAGATCACACATCACATATCAGTGATTGTCTGTAACCCCTGAAGATTCCACATCACTTGTCACGGATCATCTACAACCCCAGTGTGCCACACATCACATATCAGTGATTGTCTGTAACCTCTATAGATCACACATCACATATCAGTGATTGTCTGTAACCCCTGAAGATTCCACATCACTTGTCACGGATCATCTACAACCCCAATATACCACACATCACATATCAGTGATTGTCTGTAACCCTGAAGATTCCACATCACTTGTCACGGATCATCTACAACCCCAATATGCCACACATCACATATCAGTGATTGTCTGTAACCTCTATAGATCACATCACATCCACATCACATATCAGTGATTGTCTGTAACATCCATATCAGTGATTGAAGAACATCACTTGTCACGGATCATCTACAACCCCAATATACCACACATCACATATCAGTGATTGTCTGTAACCCCTGAAGATTCCACATCACTTGTCACGGATCATCTACAACCCCAATATACCACACATCACATATCAGTGATTGTCTGTAACCCCTGAAGATCACACATCACACGGATCATCAGTGATTGCACACATCACATATCAATTGTCTGAAGATTCTATACATCACATCACATATCAGTGATTGTCTGTAACCCCTGAAACCCCTGTCACGGATCATCCACATCACATATCAGTGATATGTGATTGTCTGTAACCTCTATAGATCACACATCACATATCAGTGATTGTCTGTAACCCTGAAGATTCCACATCACTTGTCACGGATCATCTACAACCCCAATATACCACACATCACATATCAGTGATTGTCTGTAACCCCTGAAGATTCCACATCACTTGTCACGGATCATCTACAACCCCAATATGCCACACATCACATATCAGTGATTGTCTGTAACCTCTATAGATCACACATCACATATCAGTGATTGTCTGTAACCCCTGAAGATTCCACATCACTTGTCACGGATCATCTACAACCCCAATATACCACACATCACATATCAGTGATTGTCTGTAACCCTGAAGATCCCACATCACATATCAGTGATTGTCTGTAACCTCTGTAGATCACACATCACATATCAGTGATTGTCTGTAACCTCTATAGATCACACATCACATATCAGTGATTGTCTGTAACCCCTGAAGATTCCACATCACTTGTCACGGATCATCTACAACCCCAATATGCCACACATCACATATCAGTGATTGTCTGTAACCTCTATAGATCACACATCACATATGTCAGTGAGATTCCACATCACTTGTCACGGATCATCTACAACCCCAATATACCACACATCACATATCAGTGATTGTCTGTAACCCCTGAAGATTCCACATCACTTGTCACGGATCATCTACAACCCCAATATGCCACACATCACATATCAGTGATTGTCTGTAACCTCTATAGATCACACATCACATATCAGTGATTGTCTGTAACCCCTGAAGATTCCACATCACTTGTCACGGATCATCTACAACCCCAATATACCACACATCACATATCAGTGATTGTCTGTAACCCCTGAAGATTCCACATCACTTGTCACGGATCATCTACAACCCCAATATGCCACACATCACATATCAGTGATTGTCTGTAACCTCTATAGATCACACATCACATATCAGTGATTGTCTGTAACCCCTGAAGATTCCACATCACTTGTCACGGATCATCTACAACCCCAATATACCACACATCACATATCAGTGATTGTCTGTAACCTCTGAAGATTCCACATCACTTGTCTAAATCCAATACATTAGTTGTGGTCTCATGTACCGCTGCAGTAAATACCGCCAATACAGTAGGTGGTCTCATGTACCGCTGCAGTAAATCAGTACAGTAGGCGTGGTCTCATGTACCGCTGCAGTAAATCCAATACATTAGTTGTGGTCTCATGTACCGCTGCAGTAAATCCAATACAGTAGGTGTGGTCTCATGTACCGCTGCAGTAAATCCAATACATTAGTTGTGGTCTCATGTACCGCTGCAGTAAATCCAATACAGTAGGTGTTGTCTCATGTACCGCTGCAGTAAATCCAATACAGTAGGTGTGGTCTCATGTACCGCTGCAGTAAATCCAATACATTAGTTGTTGTCGCATGTGATGATGTGGGCCTGCCCAGCGCCTGACTAATTTTGCACGTGCAACATGAAAACTTAGCGTAATGCGTAAAGTTGCATGCGCAGCTCTCCTTTTCAATAATGTTGAACTTCATTTGGACTTCATGTCATTAATATTTTCAAAAGCGGAAAACATGTATGTTGTTGTGTGTTCCACATAGTAATGTATACATTTGCAAGTCTTGATATGAATGTTTTTTTACCAAACCACATATTGCTCCAGGGTTCCAGGTTGTGAGCGCGGCCGCCCCGAATCCAGGAATGGGGCAAAGAACAGATAACGCATGTCTGTCATATCAAGATAACCGCCGCGGCGGTTTTTAAAACAACATGCTTAGAGAGTTTACGCACAGAGTGCTTATCGGGTTTAATGTCTTTACCTCCATACATCAACACATTTTTTTATCTTTCGTTTCTATAAGCAAAAAACAATATCTTCACAAACTGCTTATTTGCTCATTAAGACAAAAGACACG